CCCACATCCACACACCCACACCCTCAACAACATTATTGTCTATGAAATCAGTTTTAAGTCTTATTTCAACACAAGATTTATCAAAAAAACTTGGAAGAAACACTTCATTATTTTAAATCAACATCCAACGCACACACAAGAGGTATTTTCTTTTAAATAGTAAATATTTATTGTCAAGAAAATTTCAATTATTAATCTTTTTCATTCATTGATTAAGCTAAAATCTTTAGGATGTTGTATCGGGTCTGAAACTTGCCTACGGATAAAACTTTACATGAAAATCTTATAATAAAGGTTTCTGGAAGAGTCTTTCATAGAGAAGGAAAATTTAAATATAAGAATGCCATAGTAACAGCAAAACTGATTTTGCGAATATCAATGATCTTCACGAGAGTAGTTTATTGTGAAAGCGTCAGATCTTTTCATTTGGTTCTATCTTGAAATTCGAATATTAAGTCATCTAATTAACATGAGCGATCTGCAAGACATGCTATCAATTCGAAATTTGAAAACCAAGTTTTCTGTTACCATAACTTTTATTTAAAAATATTCTTTTAATTTAGTTTTTATTAAATCTTCATGAGCTAGTAATCGTTTCATCATCGTCTGCTGAAAGAAAATCTTCAAATGTTCCTTCACAAGTATCATTAAATAATTCTTTAACTTATATTCATACAATAAGTATTCGATAACCGATAGTTTATTTGATTTGGTTCATGTTATACATTAAATATAAATAGTGATGAATCCATAGAAAATAGTGCAATAGGAGAGTAAAATAAAAAAAAAACAAATTTGATCTATTCTGTTTTTTGTTTTCTATTTTATAGTGTTTATGGAACAAAAAAATTAGTCTTAAAAGTTATGATAATAGAAATGAAAGTGATTTTCAAGCTGCTGTACTCGATTTACTTGATCAATTACTTTTAATTTATGTTAATTATAATTAATTAGATACTGATGAAGTTGATTGTATTTGTAATCGTTTCGTTTATTTCTGAATAGCATTTTCTTACTCATAATCAATGAACTTGAAATGATTGAAGAAACTACAGCAGGTTATGATGTATTATCACATTTTATTTATCGTATTGCTGCATTTCTTGTTATGTTATCATCTGATACAGTTCATTCAAAACAAGTTATTAAAGCACAAGATTTAATAAAACATTATGATTCATTATTAGCAAGTGGACATGAACCTGAAACATATGGTAGAATGAAGAAAAAACGTTTTCGAGAAAAAGAAATTATCGTTAAAGTTCGTTATTTAGCTTTAGCAGCATTAGAACTAGTTGTATATGATTTTTTTCTTGTTCAAGTTATGCGAATAATTAAAATTCCTAAAAAGTTTTATTAAATGAGAGTGAACAAAAAGTGTCCTTCTATAAAGTCTCAAATATCTTAGAAACTCGAGAGGGTGTGAGTGTGGGTGTGTAGATGTAATTTTTCTCCTTGATTTAACCCACACCCACACTTCAACGAATCGATGATCTGAAAATAATCATCTTGTTGATGTCCAGAACTCAACAAGATTTAGAGACAGTAATCTTCAGTTATGTATTGGAGTTTGAAGGAAAACTAGGCATCTTAATTATTATAAATAAAAGCATCTTTTAATGTCATGTGTATGTACTGAAAAAACAATAATAAAATTTTTTTTGCTATAGATTTTGCAATTGTTAACAATTATTTTTGATAGTGTGCGAAATGAAGGTGATAAATGGAAATGTCTATTACGACAAATTGTCGATATACTTATTGTTCATTTACAATCACATGTTACCATTGGTTTTAGCTAAGGTTATTTTTGTTTTTTAATAATCTTCGATTTTACGTTACTTTTTTTCTTCAAATAGGATCAGCCACTTTTGGATATTTATTCCTCACACTTAACACTATTTGATTTTGTATCATCAGTGCATTACGACCAATTGATCCATTTGTTGTTGCTTTTCGAACATTAGTAAATAGAAATGTTCGTTGTTTTTATTTATAAAATTTTCTTGTAGTTTAAAATTCTTTTTAGAATGTCAATTGTCAATTTACAAATCGATGGTTAATCAATATAAATATAATACTTCGATCTCTTGTATAAAACTTAAGTGAATATACTATATTAACACAATGGAATGATGTTTTATCATCGGTTAATGGGACACGAGATGAAACTTTTAGTGCATAAGTATTTGAAATGATTTTATTTATAATTTAAAAACTACTATTCTCGTTTTTATTTTTAGAGCTCTTCGAATTTTACATGACGTAATATTACGAATTTTAACTAATACTCGGCAATTACGTAGTCAAATCGATATGATATTAGTTTCTCTTGCATCCGATGATCTTTATTTACTCATGCGTATTATGGAAAATGATAATGAATCAAAATAACAGTCTGTTTGTAGACATAGATACCATAATCCAGCAATAGGAACATCATTTTTAGTTGAAATCGTCATCTTTGTAACGAAAACTAGAATAATTGATTTAAATATTTTGGCTTGAGACTTTAGGAAGGAGAAACTAACTGAACAGATAAAACTGGTTTATATCAAAGGCAAAATGGCTGCAATTCATTAATCACTAATGAGCTCGCGAAAAACATTTCACTTTAAAATTTCTATGCCTGTATAAGATCTATAATTTTATTTTAGCTAAACAATTTCAAACAATTGTAAATGATTTTCGTCAATTATGAATTCACGATAAAATTGTACATTTTCATATTTAACTATTTTAAGTCAATATTTTAAATTATTATTATTATCATTTTATATACCATTATTATTACAATGAACACATATTCTGAATATACTTGATTATATACAAGAAGCATGGTGGTCACCAATATTAACACCATCATCATTAATAACACATCATCAATGATTATTTTCTTTTTGAACAATGTGATACATGTACATATGTACATAATTTATTTGGTCTTATACATCGTACATCAGTTGCAAGTCATTTATTCGTTTGTGAAGGAATACATTTAGTTGAAAGTGGTCTTGTATTCGTTTTAGTAATTGAACAATTTCTTCCATTACTATATATATCTGTAATACATTTAGCTGAATTAATTGTTTATGATCGTATTGAAATGATGTTAACACTTGACCAACAAACATTAAATAAACAATTATTACCTAAATATCTACCATTAACTGTATAAATCTTATCAATAACAATATCAATCGATATTATTAAAGAAGATTTTAATAATCTTAATTGTTTCTATGGATATAACACGGAAAATTTATGCACAAATGCTTAAAAATCTAACTTATAAAAAATGATTACCATTTATGATGTCACCTGTATGTTTTAGTTTGATTTATCGAAATAAATATATATATGTATAATGAAAAATTTAATCCAATTAAAGGAAAAATGTTTGTTTTACTTTGACATTGTTTATGTGTTAGTAATAGATGAGATTTTTGAATAATTCAAAATTTCGAAAAGTATTTTGAAATAGAAAACTACTCGGTCAACTGTACTTACATAGGAACAAGAACGAGTTTTAACGATATAGGTAAGAAACAAAATATGTAGAATTTCAGGTAATACAAATCGTAAAGGAAAGCATTTAAGCTACATTAGTACAATGACCGAATGATACCTCTTAAATTTCATTGTTCAAAGTTTGAGTCTTGCTGTTTGTCCTGTTACAACTAAAGAAACCCAACCGAAAATAATTTTTAGAAATCAGAAATTTTAAGTTTATGAAACGTTCTTCTAAACAAATATCATGAACCGATGACTAAGGATGCAACAGTAATGTTCATCTTATATTCATTTCGAGTTTTTCGATCGAAGGAGGTCTATTTCAAAAAAGCAGCTGAGTTTTATAAAACATCACGAAGTCTTTCTTGAATGATAAAATTGCATTCAAGAATTTCGACAAACTTTCTACAGGTTTGAATTCCTGGACTTCGAAAACGTATTGGGTTTTTCCCATAGCATAAAATTTTTAGAATGATTCTCATCGTAAATGAAAATTGATTTGAGAAAATAAGAAACAATATAAATCTGTTCTTTTTTTGTTTTCCTAGGATTTTGTATAGTTATCAGATGCCTCATTGTCTTATCCTTGGTATTTTATCAACACAACGTTTAATAACAAATGAAACAAATTTAAATGATGTTGAAACAACACCTAATACAATGTATGTAAAATTTCTTTTATCATGCTTCCAATAATCAATCATATTGAATTAGCATTAATAGATTCTATATCAATGTATTTTGATACAATACAAAATTATGTTGAACTAACATGTCAATTTTCAACCGATGATATTCACGATTTATTATGTTTTATAATATTTATATTAGAAATAATTTATATAAATATATTTCAAAAAAAAACATCATTTCTTAGTTGTGAAACAGATCAAATAAATACATCAATTATTATAATCATATTTAAATTTAATTGAACCAAATAATAGATCATTTATACAATTATTACCTTTACCATACAATGATCTTGATCATCTTTATTATTTAATAAGAAAAATTAAATATACCACATATTTATTGAAATTATTTACGTTGTATAGCTGTATTATTATTTTGTTTATTGACTATTTATATAAATACAATTTTGGGGTTGGTTGATTATCAAGAATACAATTTCAAGAAATATAGCTTTCATTTTTAGCTTCAATTAATCTACCACAAAAATAAACTAAATTTTATCTGTTCTTTTCTTTTTACTCTGCATAGTAGTGTATGGATTCATGATGTAACAACATTTTTATTAATTGCACTTCGATTGAATCGTACAGGAAATCCAGCTGATATGACATTTGAATATCGATATCGAAATAGATCGATTCCAATTTAATGAACAGATTATCCTATGGACAACTTCCATATGATACTATATTAACATCAATTCAAAGTAATAATACATTATCATTAACAGTTAAATGTAAGTTCATATATGTTTTAAGAATTGGCAAGTAGAACTTGTATTTTTGTTAATATTGAATATTCAACATAAGTGTAGAAAAAAAGGTTATCAAAAGAATTTTAAACTTTATTATACAGAATTGTAAGTTAAGAGAAGGGAAAATTCGTTGCTAAATTATTAATTTCGTCAAACAAAAAACGTTAGTATTTATCAATAATTTCAAATATATTCTAATTACTTCTTGTATTCTATTAATAAAGTCTAAATTATGAGAAATATTTTCTATTAATGAGAAAATTAGACTATGAACATTTCCTTTGCTAGCATCCACCTTTAAAAATATATAATTTAATCGTTTATTTTTTTGTCATAGTGTTGATTTAATTTCATCATTACAAATTCTAATTAAACTATATGGTTCGTTGGTTAACAACAAATTTCGAATAATTTTTGTATTCAAGTAAAATATGAATTAATAGGTTCATTTATATATCTATCTGATTTATTTCCATTATCACAACTATTATCAAATTTATATGATTTATGTGATGAATATTTTCGTACATGCTTTGATGAAGATGATTTAATGATATCATTAATAAGTTATAATTTATGTAAATTTGATATATTACTTGAACAAACAATAAAAGAATATAATAAATTATATATACGTTTAATTGAACACAATTTTAAATTAACTAAAATTCATGTATATACATGATGTTTATTTTTATTTGAAAGTTATGAAGTTGATTTAAATTCATATGATATTTTATTATCATTAATTAAAGATGATAATTTAACAAAAAAAAACTATATCAATTAGTCTTGAAAGACTTTAAATAGTTGATCAATATCCTAAAAATGATATATGACGTTTTATATGAACATTCAATAACAATAATACGTCAATTGATTATCTTGTTTTAATACTTGCACGTATTTATATCTGATTACAACAACCAAATGAAAATACGAATTTATTAAATAATGAACATGTTAATGAAGAACAAGAAATGATTGATAGTTCATCAATAATATCATCATTATCAGATAATATTCTTATTGAACTTGTTACTGAATTATATGAACGTACTAAACAATCATCAACATTACCATTATTACTTGCACACATTGGTTTATCGGATCCTGTAATGAATAAAATGATTTTAGAATTTGCTGCATCAACACAACAATTATATTCTCAAATTCTTTGCATATACAGTTTTTGCTTTTTTTTTTTGTGCTTTAATTAATGCACGTTATTCAGCTAAATTTAATGAATGGACTTTATTATCAATGACAAAATATTGCACAAAGAAAATCAATACGTATGGCTATATGGGAATTAACTTGTCTTATGCTAAGCACATGTCTATCACATACAATTGCTGATGCATTGTAAGTATTTACTTAAATCATTTATTCTTGCTGATTTCTTTTTCTTAGTTCTTTATATTTTATCTTTAAAGAAAAAAAGTTTATATTGAAATTTCATACTGTTGATTTAATAGTGAATTAATATGGCATGAGTTTTTCTGAATTTATTCTTATGAGTAAAATAGAGTGAAGTCGTATTTGGGCTGTTGGATCAGCTATTTTTTTTCCACCTATGGTTAAATATTCTTCTTAGTTTTCTTTTTAAAAGTTATCAAGACTTACACGTACAATTAAAATCTATTTGGAAAAGATAAATAGTAAAACATTAATGAAAAAAAACTTCTTTGTTGCAATCCGAAGGAATAACGATCAATACAAAATCAATAAATTTCACTATGAAATGTCAAAATGAATTCTCATAGATAATATGACATATCTTTTATTTTTTTAGGTTTTCGTTCTCCTTATCACGTTTCAGTGCTCGTTTTGAAGAAATTAGACAATCGTTTATTTCTTATTGCTGGTCGAGAATATTATCTGCAGGTATTATAAAAGAAAACATTCAAATATTAATTGTATCAAAAAAAAAATCTGTTTTACTTATTTTAGTTAATGAATATTGAACAACGACTTCAATTTGAACAAGCATTCATAAATGAATCGAATCCAGAAAAATTATATGCTGATTTACTTGCACACATTCAAAATACGATCTTATCATCGTCTTGGTGTGGGTGTAGATGTTGTTTGGATGTGTTGATGGATCATATACTCTCTCTCACCCACATCCACACCCTCAATAAATGCTAAAAATATTGATTCATGACATGAAAATATATCAACAAGAATTCATCTATCTACTTTTTTACTAGAATCGGTCTCTGTTATAACAATCATATCTAGATTTTCTAAACCAATCAGCATAGATTGTCATTAAATTTTAGCTGTATGTACTAATACAAAATAGGTTAAGTAAACTATCTCTAGTAAACGTTATTTTTGTTTGCACAAGATAATCAATTTGCACGAAAACCATGAATGCCTTATTTATTTTGTGCAGTTGTGCTCCAATTTCTGTTTGACTTGTTGATTTGTATTTCATATTGTGTATTTTATTATGATTTCAACCATTGATTTAACTAGTAAATAAGTCGGTTACATGTATCCATTAAAGTTAGAACAGGAACAGTTCACCTTTCTTTATATTGATCCCATAACGACTACATACTATTTAAAATATTCATAAACATATTTCAGTCATTGAAATTTCAACGAAGGCTTTAAAATGTTTTAGAATAGTTTAAATCTAGTTGATGATGTCATTCAGTGCTTTTTCTGTTGCCATTCTTCCGCCTTTTACTAGGAAAATCATGCTCATTGTTCTGTGACCTTTAAACCATGTCGCTAGAGTCTAAGAGAAAGTTGTACAAATCTCGGTTAAAACTTGCATTTATAACCAGTACTTGTAATAATATCAAGAAGAGTGTGGTTATAGATGAACAACTCTTTTTTCTTGATTTATTATTCGTACTTTTTATTATTTTGTTATCAATAAAAACAAAAGATTTTATAATAAAGAAAAAAAATTGGATATTTTAATGTAAAAAGCAATTCATCATTATTTTTTGTTAATATTATTATTATGATTTTTATGTACAAAAAAGATTGTTCATTTTCTAAATACAAACATTCTCAAACTCCTGACTATCATCAGCAAGATTGTCTATATATACATCGTTCATCTCACCGTCATATATTAGAAAATATGAACATCAGTATTTTCTTGTAAGACGACAGTCTGATTATCGCTTGACAGCATTTAACGATAACTATCAGAAAGGCAGTCAAACCAACTTGCACAGGTTCGAGTTCAGTTCGGTGACTGACAGGCGTCGTATTGTTCTGTAAAGTTGTTTTAGATTTTAAATTTCTGAGAATTTATGGAAATCATAAACTTCGGTAAGTTAAAACTCAACAATACAATCATCAAAATACATGCCTTCAGAAAAAAATAGATCATAAATAACGAAAATCCGATCATCACAAGTCGCACCGTGTTCCTGTTACATTCTAAAGAGATACTAAAAGTCTTGTACACATATCCTGGTCAGACAAGCAGACGGTGAGATCTTACAAGATATAATACTTCAAACATATTTAGATTTAATTTTAAATTTTTTTAACTTTTTTAAAAATTATTTCTGGACTTAATAAATTTTAATAAATGTAAATTGATTGCCCATAATCGTTGTTGCAAAATATTCGATCAAACATCCTTTGATCATTTCATATAGTATCACAATTTTACAAAAACGATTACATCTCAATTAATCATTTTTTTCATGTGCCTATCTATATTTATTCATTTTTTTAAAATTACTAATATCTCTTTATGACAGAAGTCGTTGTTCCAATGAATAGCATGATGCCGAATCCTGTTCTATTTTCATTACTGAGAATAGGAGAGACGATTAACAGCTTATGAATGAGCTGATGACACCGAAGATGATCATATTCTTCAAAACTTTTTTTGTCACAATCTACTTTCGTAATTTAAATTTTCCGTTCTAACTTATCTAACTTTGCTTCAAATATTTTATTGTTGTTGACACAGTAAACTTTGCATACATGTGACAAAACAAAATAGAAATTTTTTTCCGTAAAATTTAATTTGAACAGAGGTATATGCAATAAGGTGTGAGTTTCCGGTTCATCTACAAAGTCGCACACCCTATTGTTTATGAATTATGGTTAGAATAGAAAAAGTCTAAAAAAAATATTGTTTTCGAACTGTTGTCCCTCTCTTCCAACTGATTCTAGTCATTCTAAATCCAATCAGAACTGATTTTAAGCAAGTCAAATGATTGAGTTTATAGTCAAACTTTAATTGCCAGTAAGTAAAATAACTTATCATGATATTCTTCACCTTTTCTCTTAGAGGAGTGTTTCTTTTTTTTCGATTTCGAAACAATTATCAATTTAGTTCGCGTTTTGTTTCAACAAGGAGGCCGTTGCCAATCTTCCAGATTAAGAAAATATTTCTCACAGTTACAGTTTACTGTCTGTCTCTTCTGAATAGATCAATCAATCTTATCCACATTTTTTAGCTAATAATTGTCATTGATATCTACTTTTAAGAATCATCAGTATCATAAACTTGATCATCCGATGTTATTTGAAATATAAGATTACCTGATTTTCGTCAATATGACTTTCTCCAATATGTTATTTCTTGAACTCTTGCAAAGACATCCTTTCTCTGGCATTCGCCATCAACGAAATTCAGAAACTCTGAGATATTATCAATTAAGTCGCGTAATCTCAAATAATATATTTCTCCCGAATAATTGAAAATTTAGATAAAATTAGAATTGGCTTGTATCACAAATATTTACTCTGTTCTTTAGGTAACCTTAAGAAAATCTTATATTTCTCGCCAAAAAAAAAAAATCTTTACGTTTGGATATTTGGAATATAAATTTTTTAAAAGTTATTCAAAAGAAAAAGAGGACTTTGCAAGGTCACAATCCGTAAAATGATGATGCTGAAATCTTGCAGAACGCTGGTAAAAGTAGTTAATATTTATGTTATTGGTTGTTTTACAAACTATTCATTGAAAACAAAAACAACGAAAAACATGTCTGTTAACTCCGACTGAAGTATTCGCTAGTCAAAAAAACATTTGAATCAGTAGCCTTAATAATTATTTCAATACAATGTAGTATTTATGCGCAAATTTTTTGATCGCTAGACAATTTATCGATAAAAATCTTTCACAAACTGTTCAAATTCTACTGAAAAGTCATGATTTTTATAAATTTACTTATGTGATCATATCAAAGATATGTTCTTTCTTAATTACTGTTTCCTCGTACATTGAAATGAGTCCAATGAACGATAAATTTAATTTCATCAACTGTTGTCTTTTTAAGAAGATGCATGGTTTCATAGACTACGTATGCATTTTTCTTTCGATATCAAATATGATTGTTTTTGCTCTTTTCAAGGAAATATTGCTTCTGGTCAATGCTAAATTCAAGTACCAAATCTGTTTGGGTCTCCTCTATGATTATAAGTATAGCTATGGCCATCGGTACACAAATAGTTCATTCTAATACACCACAAACATCTGGTATTTTACTTCTAGTTTTGCATATGCTGTGTTTCTACGAAGAATATAGGTAACAGTATTATAGAGTTTTTGGCTACACAGCATCAAATTTTGATAGCATTTGATATCGGTATCTTCGAAGTAAATCATCAGTTGAGAAGAAAGCTAGGAGAGTTACAAATCTTTCAATTTGATCTGATGATCTATAGATGACTGAGTCAAATTGTTTG